AGTCGGTGTGGACGGGCAGGGGAGAGCTGATGGGATAGTGAATAGGTGGGTCAAGCAGGGGTGAGGCTCATCCTTGGCGGGCGAGGAGTCGCAGGAGGGTGACAGGGGCCACGAGGACAGATCTGCCTCCTGTGAAGGTCTCCCTGACACTCTGGAGGGAGGACTGGAGTGGGAGAGACTGGAGGCAGGGAGGCAGCAGAGGGAGGATGGACCGGCCTGAGAGAGAGAAGATGGCGGCCTCAGCTAGAGGTGGGACGGGGGGACAGAGAGGGGTGGAGGCGCAGAGAGATCTGTGGGAGGTAGAATGGACACTCTCAGGGGTCTGACCTCGCTCTGGAAGGTGACAGAGATGGAGAAGGCTAGTAGGGGCCCATGTTTCTAGCTCAGGTTTGTGAAAAAATGGCACCATTTCCTTTGGATGGAGGACCAGGAATGAGGTTCGAGGAGCAGATGCTTAGTGCCCTGAGGGCTCGCACCCAGCACGGTGGCGGCCAGGCTGGAAGCACTCTGTCAGTGTAAGCTGTGCCGTGACGTGGCGTGGACAGGGCTGAACAGAAAGACATGCAGACCACGGGAACCAGAGGCAGCAACAGAAAACCAGAGCAGCTAAGGGACTCCAAGTACAGGGGGCGCAGAGGCGGGACAGAAGGCAGGCCACAGGCAGGAGCTGAGGCTGCACAGCAAGTCAGTGAAGGGGCCCAGGTCTCCCGACCACCACCCAGGCTCTTTCTCTCTCCTCTGCCCCTACCCAGCCCCACACACAACGGCTCCCGGACTTCTCATGTCTGATTCCAAATAATAAGCACAAGCAACTGCATGATGAATGCTGGGGCCGCCTGGTAGTGACAAAGGAGGGAGGATTCTAGGACATTCCCCCGGCCAAGGCCACGGCAGATGGCCCATGGCAGGCCTCTTTCCCCGCACTCACACTTCCTGCGGCAGGTGCAGGAGGGCTCCCTGGGACTCAGACTCAGGAGGAAACACTCAGCCAGTAACAGCTGAGACAGCCACAGGACCAGCAGAGTGTCAAAGAGACAGCTCCGTGAGGTGATGAGCTTCAAATCCCACACCTGTGCCAGGTGTTCCAGTTGCCAAGGCTCATCCAAAAGCCAATACTACGTGAGAACCATTAAGTGCTTCCGTCACTGTCATAATTAGCTAGGCAATATTCATAATAGGCAGAAAGCAACGGGGAAGCCAGACATGATCAGCATGGTCATCTGGGCAGCTTCACCAGGAAGCTGCAACATCACACCCCCCAGGGAACCACCACCAGTCCATTCCCTGCAGACCACTGGGGGAAGGGGTCAAACAGAGGGGGAAATGGGCACATGGGCCACCAAGTCAGGGTGAAGTAGGGAAGGTGCTTGCCTGTCTGTCTAACCTGGAATAAAGATCACTGGCTAGGAGGGTGGACCCCAATGCAAGCCCATGAGAATTTGGGAATACCTAATCCCCAGACAAAGGAATTCTCTCTCTCTTATTCTCTCTTGCTTCTCTCCTGCTTCCTTGCAGTCTCTTGCTCTGTGTCCTGCACTCACCCGTGCACTAGCCCATCACGTGGCCTTAGCAACCACATGGCCCATAGCCCTGTGGACCCCACGCCCAGTGCACTGAAGCTGGGAACACGAGCTAAGTTAGCCAGATGTGGGACTGCACTGTGCTTTACCGTGGAGCGGGAATGCTGGGCAGTGGCTTTAGTCCTTGCCCAGCTGAAGACACAGCTGGACTGTGTCCAAGGCAAGACCGAGGGAGATGGGACCTTGGAGGGGAACCCCTTTCATCTTTCATCATCAATGAAGCTTTCCACGATCTCCCATCCTCCCGTGGGAGCCTCAGGAAATGCAAGAGCTCCACTTCTACCAATTATAGGAGGGGACTCAGCAGGCACCCCGCCAGGAACACTTCCTCCGTGAGAGGTGCAGATCGTGGCACCCACATATATTATCTCCACCCCCTCAGCAAATCTAGGAAGTAGCCATTATGGTCATCTTTCCACAACTGAGTAAACTGAGGTGCAGAGATGTTAGATAACTTGTCCAAAGTGGCACAGCGAGCAAATGAAGGAACTGGGCCTCAGCCCCAAGGTCAATACCGCCCGTTAAAGCTCAGATGCTAGGATTTAAGGCCATAGGATTTAACCCAGCCCTAGGTTTTCTGGCTCCTGGTCCAGGGCAATTTGTGGCACTTCCCACCTTGTTTTTAGTGAGGTTTTAAAAACCAAGTGGAAATTACAATAACATACATGGATGTGACTGTAAGTGGCAAATCACATTGTAAACATCAGGCGTTGCTGTTATTCTGTTTTTATTAAGGGTCGCAGACTTTTATTTTGCCAATTTTTGGACTCAAAATGAACAAATCACCATCAATTACTTCCATCATTTCATAAAAGAGAAATTATTAGAATGCACAAATTTGTAGGCAGGATCTCTGAAGGGTCCAGGTTCAATTCCCGTCAAGGTCACATGCCTGGGTTGCGGGCCTGGTCCCCCAGTAGGGGACGTGCAGGAGGCAGCCGATCAATGATTCCCTCTCATCATTGATGTTTCTATCTCTCTATCTCTCTCCCTTTCTCTCTGAAATCAATAAAAATGTGTTTAAAAATAATAATATCCTTAAGCAGCATAATTCTGACCACAATCTATACTTAACGGTGAAAATATAAACTTATACACATGTTTCTTAGCCAGTTCTAGAAGACACCAAACATCGGGTCGATTTGATTGGCGTTGTGGTTTGGCTGTGGTTTCCTGTCCTAGAAGCCCAGAAGGAATGATCTGGGCCCTTTTCCTCTCTCAGGTTCCCAACATCCCCATATTAATCATGTGCTTTTTTTTCATTTTATGTTGTTCTGACATCTCGGGGGTGCCTAGCTGGGCGTGCCAATTCCTGGACACAGTAAACTGGCCTTCGCCTGTCATAGGCAAGCCAATCAATGCACCCCCTTTATCTAGCTCTCACACCAAGCCCATATTTCCCTGCCCGGAATCACCCAGGGCCAGGGAGCAGCCTAGAGACTAGACTTGGAGGCCGGAGCCGCAGACACTTTTGGAACCAGCCAGTCCTACGCGGTTTTCTCTGCCCTGCCGTCCTCCCCTCAGAAAATACAAGAGGTTCCGCACAGGCTTCCCCTCCTCCCGCCTCCCGATCAAACCTCTGCCTGCTTCCCCTGTGGCCTGCGTGGCGAGGGCTGGCGTGGCCCCTCCACTTGCGAACTGTAAATAACAAGGTTTTTCAATGGCATTGATTTCTCTGATTTGCCACTCAGTCACGTCTGTAAGTTAAAATCCCGGGGCGCATTTTAACACGCTCCCCTCACCTTGCTGAGCTCAGTCCCTCACATTTGGTGAGGACACAGGAAAGGGCAAGTGACCCCTCCCTGCACTGCCCTCCCCGCCCCACCCCCCAGTGTACTGTGGCCTGTGTCTCGGGGTTGCCCCTGACAGACACGATGCCTCCCAGCCCCGAGGGGCTCTGTCTTGCATCGCCACTGCATGATAGACCATAGAAAGCTTCTCGGGAGGCCTGCGCACCTGCTGGAGCTGGAGCCGGGCCCTGGGAAGCTGGCATTGCAGGTACCCGACCTGCATGGGGACGGAAGAGGTTGGAGGGAGGCCTCAAGGAAGGCTTGCGCCTGCGGAAGGGGTAGGCAGAGCGGGCTGAGCCCCTCGAAGAACAGCAGAGCTTACCACCCCAAAATATGCCTTTTGCGATATTATTTTAAGCTGGCTATTTTTAAGAAACAAAAGAATCAGAAAAAGTCTTTCCCTCCCCCTCGCCTGACTAAAGGAATTGGCAGAAAACCTGCCACAGGAAGAGGGCTGTCACCTCAGCACAATATGAACTGACTGGGGGACAGGAGGAGCCTGCACAGCCCCTCTGTGGCCCACTGGGCCCAGCAAGCATTTGTTTGCCACAGGTGTGCTCTTCCTCGTCTACCTGTGAATTGCCTCCCTGTCTTTTGAAGTCCCAGACCCCTGCCTCCATCTCCTGAGTCCAGTGTGTCCTTAGGGAACCTGATGAGCACATATGTAATCCATTTGGTCATTTTCCCCTGTTCATCTGTTTCATGTCCATTTCATCATTAGTCCAGCTACAAGAACTTAGAAGGGTAGAAGGGAATTTATTTTCCCTCCCCACACCCCCAAAGCTGCAACCACCGATCAAAATAGCAGGAGAGAGAAGGAGGGGAGTTCTGAGCATATATATCTTCCTCCCAAACACAAACAGGCTCCTCTCCCTGCCCCCGGCCTCGTGGGAAACTCAATGCTGCCCAGAACAAAGACATGTGGCTCAGACAGTGCCCACCAAGATCACCCCACACCTCCAGGTACTATGTCCTGAGGTTACTTTGTCAGCAAATGGACATCTTTACCAAGTCTTTCCTGGTGGAATCCTCTGCTCGGTTCCGGAGAAAACACAGGCAGAAGGGAGCCTGGAGGAGCCTGTCCGCTCAGAAGGATGACAAGGCCTCGGGAGGCTCAGGCCCTACAGGCATGGCCTCTGGGGGATGGATGCACCGCTCACGCCCTGGCATAACCCTTGACTGAGGGCCTCTGAGCCCAGTCACCACATCACCATCTGGAGTTCCTGGTAGTTGTGTCACCCGAATGAGACAGTATTAAAGGCTCAGGAAGCCTTGCTCCCCATTCTGGTCCCCTCTCTCTCTCTCTCCCCCCAATGCAAACAACGCACGAGGCTTCCCCAGTCCCATCTGCTCTGTGGGCTCAGCCTCCCAGCCCCAGCCTCAGGCTGTCCCTCTGGCTCTGAAGCCCAGCTGTGCAGTGTGTGTGGGAACTCAGAACCCAGGGCTCAGCTCATGGAGCAGAGAGCGGCCCCAGGCCCGCTGATCCTGCCCACCAGCACAGTGACGAAGACCCTACCAGCCCCTGGGCTGTGAGTGGACAAGAGGCCCCAGGCCCATGGAGCTTGGACCCATCCAAGGAAAGGAAAGATGGTGGGGGGGGTGCGGGATGGGGAGGAAGGTTGTAACTCACTTTGCTTCTCCTGCAGGACGCTGGACGTGCAGGGCGCGCTCCCTTCTCCTGCAGAAAAAGAAAGATCCATGAGCAGACATCCCCATCACTGCTGGCCAGGCACTGGGAGGTCACTATGGCTGCTCCTGCCCCTCCATTCAATGTCCCCCTCCTGAGCTGGGGGTGGGCAGACTCTCCCAGCCCCTCAGGCCCTGCCCCCACTCTGTCCCACTTAGCTCTGGGTTCTTTATCCAGACAAAGCATCATTGCCTGGGGACAAAGGGGGGGGGCGGAGACTGGCTACCTTCCTCCTGGGCCTTCCTCTCTGGCACTTCCTCTCCCCACCGTCACACAGCACCTGCCTCCCTGGCGTTGCCCCCTGTGCACTTACTTACCTGCAGGCAACTGCCAAGTCTCTGCCTCTAGTCCAGGCCCCTCTTCCTACTGTTTGATCCAGATCTCCTGCCGCCTCCCGGACATCAGCTCTGATGCTTCCAGGCTGCACACCCTCACCACGCCCCCCAGGGTCCCACCTCAGCGAAGGCACCTTCCTCCCCTTTTTTTCCCCCCCCCACCCCCCCACCCCCGGCTGGGAGTTGGCCACAGCCTTTTCCCTCTTTTGTCCCCACATTCAATCAGTCACAGGGTGTGGGGGGTCTGCCTCCCAATCGCCTCAACACGCCCTCCCCCTTCTCGAGAGGTAGACTCCACAATGGGAGGCATTTCCGTGTTGTTCATGGGGGAGGGGGGGGGCACAGGAGAGGTCAGGCCTAGGACAGTGCTTCTCAGTATTTGTCAAATGAATAATGGACTGAAACAAGCCCCTCTCCTCCGACACACAGACGCATGCTGCCCAAACACAGAACTCCATCCTGGCTTCTCAGAATAGCTTCTTCCTTTTACTGCAGAGCGCTCTTTTCTATAATTACAAAGTAATACAAGCTTCTTACTGAACATTTGGGAAACACTAACAAACCTTAACAAGGAAAAGATTCCTTATAATCCCATCACTGGCAGAAAACCACTGATTCCATTCTATGTCACTCCTTCCTGTCTTTCCCATCATATTAGCTCTGTATTTCCAATAAATAGGTCGATGGCTGGCTCATCGTACATGATAAAGAAGCACGAAATACACTTTTGTACTTCAAGCTGAAGCATAAATAGCTCCCAATCCTTAAAAACATCATTCCAATAGCTATATAATCCGCTATGGAGATGATGTATCGTGGTTGACTTTAACATTATCCCATTGGTGGGAAGATTCTAAATTGCACCATTGTAATTGCTGTTGCAATGAACATTTTTGTGATAGGAGCTCTTTCAGCATTTCCTGTGATTTCCTTAAAGGACATCCACCGAGCCCTGGCTGGTGTCACTAAGTGGTTAGAGCATCGCCCGTGCACTGGGGGGTCTCGGGTTCGATTTTCAGTCAAGGGCACATACTTGGGTTGCAAGTTCAATCCCCAGCTCTAGTCGGGGCGAGTGTGGGAGGCAACCAATTGATGTGTCTCTCACATCAATGGTTCTCTCTCTCTGCTCTGTGGGCTCAGCCTTCCCCTCCACTCTCTCTAAAAATCAATGGAAAAAATATTTTCAGATGAGAATTAACAACAACAACAACAAATACATCCACTGAAAGAGACTCCTGGGTCAAAGGACAGGAACCTAAGGCCCTGATGTCACCACCTGCTTGCTTTCCAGTGAGGCGCACCTCCTGATTTGCACATCCACCTGCAGCAGAAGGTACCTGCTGTCATCAACAGATACCTCCCTGGCATTGGCATTGGTCTGTTGAATTTCTCTGCCTCTGGCTTCTCCAGATTCATCTTTCTAGAGCTGGCACTCCAGGGGCATCCCATCATCAAATTCCGAGCCTGGCAAGCAAGCCCCTCCGTACAGCTGCCGTGTCCCCAGGCCCGTGTCCCACCCCTCCTGCTCACCCTGCGCCAACCGGGTCACTGTTTCCGGATCTGCACTCACAGCACAGCCTGCACACCTTTACCTGTTCTTCCTCCCACTTCCCTCTTTCGGACTCAC